CATGTGCGCTGGCCTGCCACTCTTGCAAAGGCTAGGTATGTGCATGCATACGTGCACCAGCCCACCATTCACACAATCCAGTTCCTCTCTTTTCCCTCAGCTGAGTCACCAAACCGCAAAGGTTGGGGACTGCTGAGCTAGGAAAATTGTAGAAATGTTTGAAATTGCACAGTTATAGATTTATTATTTGAGTTTATTTATTTATTTATTTATTTATTTATTTATTTTATTTATTTATTCGAATTTCTATACCGCCCTTCTCCTTTCGGACTCAGGGCGGTGAACAGCCAGATAAAAAACATCTATACAAACATCACGGTTAAAAAATAAAGTTAAAATAATTTATAAATTTGGCCCATAATTTAAAACTTGTCAATTTAAAATAAATATTAAAATTTTAAAACTAACCCTAAAATCAGGACAGACCGGCTAACTGAAAAAAATAAGTTTTTAGGGCCCGACGAAAAATCCGGAGGTCGGAGATCACTCGTATCTCTGGGGGTAGATTGTTCCATAGGGTAGGTGCCACCACAGAGAAGGCTCTCCTCCTGGGGGTCGTCAGCCGGCATTGTCTGGCCGACGGCACCCTGAGGAGGCCCTCTCTGTGGGAGCGAACCGGCCGGTGGGAGGCTATTGGTGGCAGAAGGCGGTCCCGTAAGTACCCTGGCCCTAAGCCATGGAGCGCTTTAAAGGTGATCACCAACACCTTGAAGCGCACCCGGAAGTCCACCGGAAGCCAATGCAGCTTGCGCAGGAGAGGAGTCACATGGGAGCGCCCCGTCGCTCCCATAATCCCCCGCGCAGCCGCATTCTGCACCAGTTGGAGCCTCCGGGTGTACCCCAAGGGGAGCCCCATGTAGAGAGCGTTACAATAGTCCAGACGAGAAGTGACGAGTGCTTGAGTGACCGTGCGTAGGGAGTCCCGGTCCAGAAAGGGGCGCAACTGGCGTATCAGGCGAACCTAACAAAAAGCCCCCCTGGCCACGGCTGTCATATGCCCCTCTAAAGACAGCCGCGCATCCAGGAGGACACCCAAGTTGCGGGCCCTCTCTGTGGGGGCCAATGATTCACCCCCAATAACCAGCGATGGCGTCAGCTGGCTATACCGGGACGCCGGCAGCCACAGCCACTCGGTCTTGGAAGGGTTGAGTCGAAGCCTGTTTCTCCCCATCCAGACCCGCACGGCCTCCAGGCACTGGGACATCACTTCCAAGGCATCATTGGGATGGTCTGGGGTGGAAATGTACAGCTGAGTATCATCAGCGTACTGATGGAACTCCACCCCAAAACCACGGATGATCTCACCCAGCGGCTTCACATAAATGTTGAACAGGAGGGGCGAGAGGACCGACCCTTGCGGCACCCCACAAACAAGGCACCTTGGGGTCGACCGCTGCCCCCCTGTCAACACAGATTGCGACCGGTCGGAGAGATAGGAGGAGAACCACCGCAAAACGGTGCCCCCCACTCCCAGTCCCTCCAGCCGGCGCAACATGATACCATGGTCGATAGTGTCAAAAGCCACTGAGAGGTCTAATAGGACCAGGATAGAGGAATAACCCCTATCCCGGGCCCTCCAGAGATCATCCACCAATGCGACCAATGCCGTTTCCATGCTGTACCCAGGTCTGAAGCTGGACTGGAGCGGATCCAGATAGACAGCTTCATCCAGGTACTGGGGAAGCTGTCGCGCCACCACACTCTCAACAACCTTCGCAATAAAGCGAAGGTTGGAGACTGGACGATAGTTAGCCAAAACAGCCGGATCCAGGGATGGCTTCTTGAGGAGAGGCCTCACCACCGCCTCTTTCAAGGCGGCTGGCAGGACACCCTCACTCAAAGAAGTGTTAATAATCCCCTGGAGCCAGCCTCGTGTAACCTCCCGGGAAGCCAGCACCAACCAGGAGGGACACGGGTCCAATAAACATGTGGTTGCGTTCAGTCGTCCCAAGATCCTGTCCACGTCCTTGGGAGCCACAGGATCGAACTCCTCCCAGATAACACTCTCAAGACCTGCCTCAGTCATCTCGTCTGAACTAACCCAGTCGGCGGCCAAGTCTTCCCGAATCTCAGTTATTTTATCATACAGATACTGTACAAAATCCTCAGCTCGGCCCTGCAAGGGGTCCTGCCGCGCTCCCAGATGGAGGAGGGAGCGGGTCACCCTAAACAGGGTGGTTGGGCGGTTATCTGATGACGCGATAAGAGCGGCAAAATAGCTAGATTTCGCCGCTTTTATCGCCACTAGGTAGGTCTTAATATGAGACCTTACCAGTATCAAGTCAGACTCGGAACGACTGGCCCTCCAACCGCTCTCTAGGCATCTTTTCCAGCGCTTCATCTCCCTCAGCTCCTCAGAGAACCAAGGAGCTAAGTGAGTTCGGTGCCGGGTCAGAGGCCGCAAAGGCACGACCCGGTCCAAAGCCCCGGCAGCCGCCCTATCCCAGGCGGCCACCAGGTCATCAGCCGAGTCATGAACTAGAGTCTCAGGGAATGGCCCAAGCTCCATCTGGAACCTATCAGGGTCCATCAGGCGCCTGGGGCGGAACCACCTGGTCGGTTCCGCCTCCCTGCGACAGGATATGGCGGTCAGAAAGTCAAGTCGAAGGAGCGAGTGGTCAGACCATGACAAGGGTTCAATATCTACATCCCCTATATCAAGGCCACTCAACCACTGACCAGAGATAAAAACTAAGACCAGAGTGTGTCCCCCCATATGAGTAGGGCCGTGAATTACTTGGGTCAGGTCCATGGCCATCATGGAAGCCATGAACTCCCGAGCTACCTCAGATGTTTCACCGATGGATGGCAGGTTGAAATCCCCCATGACCACAAGTCTGGGGGTATCAGCCGCCACCTCGGCTATAACATTGAGGAGCTCGGGCAGGGTCGTTGCCACGTGGCAGGGAGCCAGGTACGTGATCAACAGACCCATCTGCACCCCACGACCCCACTTCACAAAAAGGGACTCACATCCGGCTATCTGAGGTACAGTGGTCTCCCTCGGATCAAGACCTTCTTTTAAAATGACCGCCACCCCCCCGCCCCTGCCCTGAGCTCTCGGCTGATGAAATGCACGGAAGCCTGATGGGCACATCTCCACGAGGGGAACTCCACAAGTTGAAATATTATTTGAATAATATTTGAAAATAAATATAATAACTAAGTTCTAAACAAACCAATACTCTCTTGATTATCCTCTCTAGTGGAAAAGGAGGCTGAAAACCCCTAAAAGTAAATACTTTGCCTCTCTGAATCCCATTCAGTACATTAGAACTTGAGGAACGCCTACATCTTTATAACCTAAGAAAAATCATTATTAGGAGTGTTGCGTCTATTTATTCTGATTAGACCACATGACAAAAATAAACCGGAGGGGGGGGAGATAGGCAAAAGAGAATTAATTATTAGACCCTGCTTATATTTATATTATTAGCCCCCTCTTCTACTCTTACGATTTGTCTTGTTATTCACATTAATTGTATTCCCTTTTTGAAATATGCAGATCAGAAGACCAGTAAGCAGACACTTATACATACTGAGAAAAGAATTCAGCTGTTGCACCAAATCCTGAAATATTTCTCTTTTCTGACTATTGTTATTGAAGACTATTGCTATTGAAATTCAATCTATAAATTGAAGAATCAAATTCTTGGGAATTTGAAACATTTTTAATGTTTGATGTGTCTTCTGGCCTTTGTAAAGAGACTATACTACCCACAAAGACCAAGTGCAAGTAGGTGATCTCACAATTTCTCTTTTTTACAGAGAGGCTGGGTAGAATTTGCTGTCTCGTCTCCAATCACCACCATTCAGGAACATCTAATTCACCATGAAGTCCACCAGAAGCCACTATAAACCGTATTTTCGGAGTATAAGTTGTACCTTAGTTTTTGGGGAGGAAAATAAGAAAAAAGCTGATTGGCAGGTGGATTGGCCTCCCGGAATAACCCCAATCAGCTGTTGCCAGAGGTGAATTTTAGCAACAGGTTCGTTGGTTGTGAGCTCTGTGCCTTGCTTTTTTTTTTCAGCCTCTGAAACTTCTGAAACTCTGTTTCAGAAAAACCTTTTTTTTTTCTGCCTCTGAAAGCCTCTGAAATGGAGCTTCAGAAAAAAGCCTCTGAAACTTTTGAGTTGTTTGATTGTGAAAGAAATGGAGTGCATGCTTAATGGAAGCCTTCTTGGGAATAGAAAATAGCAGACTGAACCTTCGCTTGTGCTGTCCTCTGCTTGTTTACTCTACAAAACACCCTATACAATAAGAAATCTGTGTAAACATATGTCTTCAGATTGACTACTTTATAGATCCCAGGAGTGCCAAACATCCTGATAACATGCAACTTGCAATAATAGAGTAGGCTTTTCAGTCTGGAGCTTTGGGATCATTACAGACATAGATACTGTAGTCTAATACAGCTGGTCCCCATTAGGGTGAGAGATATACAAAATGCTGGTGTGGGAATCCAACAAGAAAATTTTCTTTGGCGATGAATAGGGTTGAAAACCCCTAAACTGAACTTAATCCACAACTTAATCCTGACTTTATTCTGTCACACCAAAGTAAGCAACTCTGAGTTTATATGAAAACCAAATTTCAGTAGAGAAGAATTTGTCTTATTTGAAATCCATATACCAAAGGGAATTTCCACTTATATTGTTTGTTATGTCATCATGCTGAATGAAGATGAAAAGTTGCACTATCCTGAGTTTTTCACTATTTAGTACTCTTGAAAATAGACCAGCCTTCTCCTCTGTTGCATCTTGATAATATACAGTAATTTTTCACACTCGCTTAGATAGGGTCAGATCACTTCAAAAAAAAGTTTACCTGCTGCAATTAGACATATAGGAAGCTGGAAGTGAGTCAGGGAAATGAAATCAAATGAACAATACGAGAAAGAGAAGCATCTCAAAGTCTATGTTTTCCTTACCCCTTCCATGATTATACTTTTTGATATGAATGTATATGATTATATACACAAATACAAGATTATACTCACAGGCGCTACGACTTCGGCGGGGAGGAGACAAGACTAGCCCAAGAGCTCTTTCTTCAGTTTCCGAGGACATCAGCACGTCGGACAGTTCCTGGAACACTTCTACCGCGGCAGCCCTGCCGCTCCCTTCCCAGGCGCCGGAAACAGGTGGGAATTTGCGGACTTCTACAGTTGCCGCCGTTGTCGCTTTGGTCCGGCTTTTAAAGGTTCGCGGCTTTCTGGAGGCGACCCGTGGAGGACCTGCCGGCTCCGAGGTCAGTTGCACCACTGTGTTGCGCGAGCGGTTGAGCGCTGAGGTGACAGAACCCATGGCCGTGCGGAGAGATCTGGCTCCGTCAGAGAACTTCGCTCGGGGCCAGATCAAGCACCTTCTCCGCCCTCACTCCGGAACTCCGCCTTTTCCCGCGCTTCCCAAGCTCTGGCAACTCAACTTTCTCTGTTTCAAACGGCAACTTCAGGCCCCCGGGTTTTCTTTTTTCACGCTGATTCGCTCCTTCTGATTCTCGGAGACAAACGATATAAAGTGAGCAGCATCCTGGTCCCACCATTGCCGTCCCACCATTGGTGATAGATAAAAGGAAGCTCTCGAAGCCTGTCCTCACTTAGCTCTTTCTGTACTTGTATTTACTAGTCATATGGAACAGCGGTAAGCATTTTCTTTTCGGTTATTTGCTTTATTATGAAAAGGGAAATCCAGACACTCGGGAAATAGATTAGTTTGCTTACCAAATTAAGCTATTTGTGCAAAAACAATTATTTTATTAAACTAAAATTAAAGAAATTCAGAGAGCCACTTTGATGTAGTGATTAAGGCACCAGGCTACAAATGGGAAACATGAGTTCTAATCCTGATTTGGGCATAAAACTAGCTGGGTGACCTTAGACCAATCTCCCAGCCCTAGAATGAAAGCAATAGCAAATCACTTCTGAAAAACATTTCCAAGAAAACCAGGAGCTTTTCAAGGCACTCTCTGAGAATTAGACACAACTGAAAAGAAGAAGAAATTACAATAATGCCTTGGAGATAAGGATGGGAAACTATTATTACCTTTATTCATGCTGAGCACAAGAACTGAAAAGAAAGCTTACTTTATTCCAGATAAAATTGAAAGTCTGTTTAGGTTGTGTCACTTTTGCAGTAATCCTTTATTGTATGAAAAGGCTCCAGATTCAGCCAATCCTTACATGATGCCCTTCAGTGTCTGCTATCCATGGATACCATGGATATACTGCTTAGAAAAATGGGAGTTGTAATCTTGTTTCGACATGGAATCTAAGAGATTGAGGCTTAGTTAGCACTTGGATAGAAACCACCAGCAATCCCATGGGTGTAGATTAGATCAGGAAGATGAAAAACATCCCAGGAAAAGCAAAACTGCATAGGTGTGCCCATGAAGCCTCAAGTTGATCTCAACCTTCAAGTTGATCTCAACTTCTAGTAACTGTTCCTATGCAATTTTCATGGCATTTATAGATTAGTCTTTATCTTCTTCAGAGATTATGTTATTTGTTTGATTTTGTAATTCAACCAGTTGATCTGGAATTAACAAGTACTCATCTCACCACTAGCCAAACCAATCCTTATATGGCTTTTAAGAGCAACTAATGTCAGCTAGAAGCTGCCATATGCCATATTTATTTACAAAATTTGAAGTGGGGGGGGAACTAAAATTTGAAAAAAAAACTGGGATGGGGAAAATCTGAAAATAAAAGTCATTTTGATAATCAAGGGGAGATGAATGTATATAAGCAACAGGGAAGTTATCTTGGTAAAGAATAACTGACAATACTGTATCATTTCTATTGTGGAAATTATAGTGCTAATGCAGCTGAAAAACATTGGGCTAGGTCCGGAGATGACATAATGGGGACCACTGTTAGGAGTTTTCAGAATCCCTAACATTGCAAACAACATTGTGAAGGTTCTATATCTCAGTTTTCTTAATGGGTTTTCATAATATGAGAAGGAAGAGGATTTCTTCTAGGATCCTTCCCAAGATCTGTTCCCAAGATCTGTTTTTAGAGGAGGCAGACAGAGTCCCACATCCCACACATGAAAGAGTGATGATCCAAAGTGATAAATATTTCAAAGAGAGCAATTCTTTTCATTTATCAATATCAGACTGCTGTCCACAGGAAGGCAGCATAGGAGCGACCTTTGGCATTCTCTTATCCTGGGATCAGAACTGGAGAAATCTGTTCTTTCCTTATCAGTTAACTGAAAACAGGTGAAAACCATTCTCTTTCACAGAATCTTTGGAAGCTAGGTTTAAGTAATGCTGGCTATTATTTTGGCCCTGGAAGTTACAGTTTTATGTTTTAAGTACTATATTAGGAAGTAATTTGGCCCATAATATTTACATTGATTTTATGGTTAAAAGATTCTATTGATATTTTATTGTTCTGAATTTAAGGTAAAGAAGGGACACAAATAATATAAAATAAATAAAATTCTAATAATTACTTCAATATTTAGGATTTCTTTACTTATATTCATTTAATGAGCTATTTTTATTTTATTTTTTTATTTTATTGAATTTGTATACCACCCTACTCCCGAAGGACTCAGGGCGGTGAACAGCCATAGAATAAAACATATAAATACAAAATTTAAAATAGACTAAAACGAATTAAATAATTTGGCTGAACAAATTTAAAACCCCAATAATTTAAAACCAAATTTAAAAGCTATGAGCCACAATAGACAATAGACAAAAAACTAATGTTTCTACCACTAATGGAATTGTCCCTTATGAGCAAAAAAGAATGATTCTTGTATATTCAGTCAAAATAACCTATCCATCCCCCCCCCCAATCAAGCTCAAGCCTACTGCTTTCATGTGTTATTGTTTTGTCTTCAGCAGCATCTGTCACCAAAGCTGGCTCTGAATGGGCTTCTCCCTAAGGGAAGAAAAAGAGAGTAGCAGCATCAACAGTAATAGGTGGCAAAAAAAAGTATTTTCCTCCTAGGGGAGGCTACTGTGTTAGTGACTAAGAAATGTGTTTTATTATTATAAGCTTAGAGATAAAGGGATGAAAAGATACCACATGGCAATTCTACACCAACATTTTAGACTTATAGTTCTTTCTATTGTTGAAATCCTGAGACATATAGAATCCTTTTCTTCATAGACACAGCAACCCATATAAAGATTCCAGAGTTATTCTCATTTTGGACAGGGTTCTGGGTAGGATTAGTGCCGCCACATGTTTATTGGACCCGTGTCCCTCCTGGTTGGTACTGGCCTCCCGGGAGGTTACACGAGGCTGGCTCCAGGGGATTATAACTGCTTCTCTGAGTGAGGGTGCCTTTCCCGCCGCCTTGAAAGAGGCGGTGGTGAGGCCCCTCCTCAAGAAGCCTTCCCTGGACCCGGCTGAATTAGCTAACTACCGTCCGGTCTCCAACCTTCGTTTTGTGGCGAAGGTTGTTGAGAGTGTGGTGGCACGACAACTGCCCGGGCACCTGGATGAAGCTATCTATCTAGACCCATGCCAGTTGGGCTTCAGGCAGGGGCACAGCACAGAAACGGCATTGGTCGCGTTGGTGGATGATCTCTGGAGGGCTCGGGACAGGGGTTGCTCCTCTGTCCTAGTCCTATTAGATCTCTCAGCGGCTTTTGATACCATCGACCATGGTATCATGCTGCGGCGGTTAAGAGGGTTAGGAATAGGGGGCACCGTTCTGCGGTGGTTCTCCTCCTTCCTCTCCGACCGCTCGCAGTTCGTGTTGGCAGGGGGGCAGAGGTCGACCTCGAGGCATCTCGCATGGGGAGTGCCACAAGGGTCGGTCCTCTCGCCCCTTCTGTTCAACATTTATGTGAAGCCACTGGGTGAGATCATCCGTGGTTTTGGGGTGAAGTGTCATCTGTACGCTGATGATACTCAGCTGTACATCTCCACCCCAGACCACCCCAACGATGCCCTTGATGTGATGTCTCGCTGCCTGGAGGCCGTGCGGGTCTGGATGGGGAGGAACAGGCTCAGACTCAACCCGTCCAAGACCGAGTGGCTGTGGCTGCCGGCGTCCCGATATAGTCAGCAGGTGCCATCGCTGACTATTGGGGGTGAATCTTTGCCCCCCACAGAGAGGGCTCGCAATCTGGGTGTCCTCCTGGACACACGGCTGTCTTTAGAAGAGCATATGACGGCCGTGGCCAGGGGGGCCTTTTATCAGGTTCGCCTGATCCGCCAGTTGCAGCCCTTTCTGGACCGGGACGCCTTGCGCACGGTCACTCATGCCCTTGTCACCTCCCGGCTGGACTATTGTAATGCTCTCTACATGGGGCTCCCCTTGAAGAGCACTCGGAGGCTCCAACTGGTCCAGAATGCGGCCGCGCGGGTGGTTATGGGCGCAACTCGTTGTGCCCGCGTGACACCCCTCCTGCGCGAGCTGCACTGGCTCCCAGTGGTCTTCCGGGTGCGATTCAAGGTGTTGGTTACCACCTTTAAAGCGCTCCATGGCATAGGACCCGGGTACCTTCGAGACCGTCTTCTGCCACCAATAGCCTCCCACCGACCAGTCCGCTCCCACAGAGAGGGTCTCCTCAGGGTGCCATCAGCCAAGTTATGTCGGCTGGCGACACCCAGGGGGAGGGCCTTTTCTGTGGGAGCCCCAGCCCTGTGGAATGAACTGCCCCCGGAAATACGCAAGATCTCCGACCTCCGAGTGTTTCGTTGCGCACTGAAGACCCTGTTGTTCCGCCAGGCAGGGCTATCAACTTAATAATTTTAATTGGGGTATTTTAAATGTTTGGGGTTTTAAATCGGCCAAATCTATGTAATTATTTTAATTTTTAATTATTGTTGTGTGTTGTGTTTTTAAATTGGCTGTACACCGCCCTGAGTCCTTCGGGAGAAGGGCGGTATAGAAATAAAATTATTTATTTATTTATTTATTTATTTATTTTACTGGGCTTGATAATTAATCATTGTAGCTATCGTAATCAATTGCATTTTAGCCAACATAAATGAAACACCATCCCAAAAACAAATCATTTCCTCCTGTGCTAACCCCCTTCTCCATGTATATATATACATATACATATATACATATACATATATATATATATATATATATATATATATATATATATATACATATATATATATATATATATATATATATATATATATATATATATATATATGTGTGTGTGTGTGTGTGTGTGTGTGTGTGTGTGTGTGTGTGTGTGTGTCTTTGGTTATTCGGGTCTTCTCCCACGTAAAATTGGAAGTGTCTTGGCGACGTTTCGACGAAGTCTCATGCGTCATCTTCAGGCTGGTGTTCTCGGCTTCGTGTTTTTGCTCCTGGAAGCACGAAGCCGAGAACACCAGCCTGAAGATGACGATGAGACTTCGTCGAAACGTCGCCAAGACACTTCCAATTTTCACCTGGTCTACTCCAACATGTGGGAGAGACCATTCTGCTCCTCTTTTGCCTTTCAGCTCCAATCCAGGAGCCCTCAAGCAGTTGCATCCACAACAAACCATTTTTATACCAAATATATTTTACTGATAAAGAAATAAAGGGAGACTGGTATAGATCTATTTCAAGCTTCTTAGCTCTCACCAGCCAGCCTTACCCTTACTTGGGTTCGAACCTGGGCTGCCTGCATGTTAGGCAGTTGTATTAACCACTGAGCCACAGGTTCTCCTCCCTTCATATTTGGTATAAAAATGGTTTGTTGTGGATGCAACTGTTTGAGGGCTCCTGGGTTGGAGCTGAAAGGCAAAAGAGAGCAGAATGCTCTCTCCCACATGTTGGCGTAGACCAGGTGTCTCGGTAAAACATTTAATCTTTCCCCTGGCTCAGGCTGATGAACATACCGAGTGGATGTGATTCTACTGAGCTGGGGCTGCAGAAAAACCTTGGTTACGTAGGGAAAACCTGGCTAGAGGAAAAACACACATAAACCCTACAAAGAAGTAAGAAAATAGATACTATACCTTTACAGGGAGGATACATAAGATGTGGGTGTGGCCTACTGATGAAAGCAAACGAGCTGGAAATAGATCTCTATAGGTCTCCCACCTAGCAGGAAGAGCTTGCTGGCTGCTAGAAAAGAAAAAAAGCCTAGAATCGAGTGGATGTCATTCTACTGAGCTGGGGCTGCAGAAAAACCTTGGTTACGTAGGGAAAACCTGGCTAGAGGAAATATATATATATATAAAGTTGGGATTGGATGATCTGTCACCCAGCTAACAACTGAGTGTTCCCAGTTGAGTCATGGTTACTTCCCAGGTATATGGCTTATCTGGAAAAGCCCTGCTAAGCGACATCAAATTCTTTTTATGAAATTATTCTTTTGGAGAGCACAATGAACACAATTTCTGTTTTTGAAGAGGATGAACAGGATTTAAAACCCCAGGAGTGTGACATTTATATTTTAAAGATGATTGAAATTTCTGAACATAGAATCATAGGACTGGAATGAAACTCAGAGATCTTCTAGTTCAATCCCCTGCACAAGGCAGAAGACTTTATATCATCCTGGTCAAATGGTTGTCTAGTCTACTTTTGAAAACCTCCAGTGATGGAGCATTCACAACTATGGGAGACAAACCATTCCGTTGATTTTTTTTTTTTCTGTCAGGAAATTTCTCCATACTTCTAGGTTGGATCTCTTTAGCAAGTTTCCACCAATTACTTCTTCTCCTGCCCTCTGCTGCTTTGGAGAATGTCAATTCCCTCTTCTCTGTGATCTCAAATACTAGAAGAGAGTTATCATATACCTCCTAATCCTTCTCTTTGATAGGCTAGACAAAGTTAGCCTATCAACTAGTTAGCCTAGTTCCCTCAACCATTCATCATACAATTTAGATTCAATCCTTTTTTCATCTTTGTTGCTTTTATCTGCACCCTTTCTAGGCTCTTCTTTGCACTTATGTGGCCTCACTAGTGCAACATAAAACAGTATTATCTTGTGATCCTGATGCTGTTCTCTGTTGATGCAGCCCAGGACTTCACTGGCTTTTTTGGCAGCTGCAGCATGGATCATTAAGTGGTAGACCATTTAATTTTCTTATATAAGGAACTGGAATAGTTTTGTTATTGAAACTGAAGATAACTGTTTAAAAGGAGGTATTTGGTGGTAGCAGACAGCTTAAATGACTGAACTTGATGGTCACAAGGAAAAACAGACTGTAGGCTGGACTGAGAAACTTTTTTAAAAATTCTAAAAGGCAGCAATGGCTTACTACTTCTAGACTGTTGCCAAGAAAATGACACGTATGTACCAATGATGCTAATATGTCACGAGTGTTTCTAGGATTGCTGTGGCTACTTGCCTACTCACAAACAGTATGGTTTCAATCAAGCCATCTCCTGTTTGTAATTACCTGCAAGCCTTCCCCGCCCTAGTTAATTGCAGGTTAACTCCCCATATAAGCAAGGACCTTTTCGCTTGCTACTTGGGCCTAGACTCTGGTTTAGGCCTAAATGCACAGCTCCTGCAGGAGCTATGTGCAAATGCCGCAGATGGGAGAAGAATGCAGATAAGGACTCCAGACGCCGTTGCAGAGGAACTCCCACGGATGCTTGCCTTTTGCTGTTTTGTAGCACGCAAGCTATCATCAGGACTGCTGTTGCTGGACTTTCTTCCTCCCACAAGCTTCAAGCAATGTTTGCTGTTTGAACTGTTTTTACTTCAGGTGACTTTTAGCTGTGAAGTTTGTGCTGCCCTTTTAATTACCTTGATGATGTATCGCCACCGAAGCTGCTTATCTTCATGTTAGCTTTATTCTCTTGTGAACTGTTTCGGTATTGTGGAGAGGAATCTAGGGAGATAGCCCTGCTTCACATAACCAAGATAAGACTTTGTTTTTAATGTGCTTTCTTAAAGACATAGTGCTTTTTAAATGTTTTAAAGTAAATTATATTTTTACACAAGACGCCTCTGTCAGATTTATTTCAGTCTCAGTGTGTTTGCCCATGAGCTGGTTCACGGTCTGGGGTACCCCTCAACCCCATTTCCTAACAGTTGGTAGCAGAGGATGGTTTAACGAACCTACGCTCATGTGGTAATGCGCTAGACTGGAATGTCTGCAGTTGAACAGATTTTGACTAGGGCAGCAGCAGCAGCAAAAAGTATGAAGTCACAAACTGGACTGTCTGGCGCTCAGGCCAAAAATGTTTTGGCTGAAGAACCCCAAACTCTAATTGACTTAGAGAATAGTGGAGCTATAGGTTTTGGAGCAGAGGCCTTAACTTCTGAAGTGCCTAAGATAGTGAGTAAACCATCATCACCTAAAGAAGTAGAGACTGGAAGAACACCACTTCAGGTCTTGAAAACAAATACAGAGGTGGATGATGAATTTAGGAAGGGAATCCTTCAGTTTTTAGGTTTGCCCATAGTAAGTCAGAACCCGACTGCTGATTCTAGTGGATTATTAAAGAATCCAGCCGTGAAAGGAAAGAAGATCGAAGTCCTAGAAAACACCGGATCGGTAAGAGACTTTCAATCTTTTTCTAAAACCCCTACCTCAGACCATAAGTGGAGAATGGGGGATAACAGACTGCCTGATTCGAATGTCCCTGCTTCTTTGTTAAACCAGCATGGCCAAGTTGATATTGCGCCACCTGCTGTTGAAGCCATCATAGATCAGGCCATAAAGACTTTAGCTCCCTTGATGACATCAATGACTTCTGCTAAAAATTTAAGAGACTCTCATGTTGAGCATAAGGTTGCAAGTGTGATAGAAACTTTGGCAACCATTTTAGGCGATGGTTTGCAGGCGCCATCGGCTCAACAAATAGTAGCTGCACGTACCAAAGTACCCCTGATGTCTGCGACTAATTCAGTGCACGCCACGAGTGGGGTATATCCATCCGTGACGACATCGACATCCAGGACGGTTCCGGAGGCTGCCTCAACTGAAGATAGGAATTTGGGAGCGCGTCCAAAAATTCCTAGAGATGTGCACCAGAGAGGACCCTCGAGCATTTGTGATCAAACCAGGATGAGCTTTGCATCTGCACAACGTGAAGTTTTAATCCCTCCCATTAGGGAGGAACGATCGTCAAAATGCCAGATGGAAAACACTGTGCTGTGTGCTTCCATTCCAATGCCTTATTGCCCGTTCCAGGATGGACCACATTTTGAACATCAATTAATGTCTGTTTCCATGTTTAATAATGTATAGGTTCTTCCTCCTAATTTTAAAAGTTTAAGTGTGGGTGGAGGAAATTTTAAGGAATGGGTTAAAAGTATCCAAGTAATCTTAATGAAAGAGAATGTTTTATCGTTGTTGTTAAAACCCCCATCTAGACCATGGTCCTTAGAAGTTGATCTTTTACATCATAAGGCCTTTTGTATTTTATTGATGTCCATTGACCCTGCACTATATCCCAGTATACCTAGTAACCTGACCGTAACAGAAGTTTGGGTGAAACTGCATAAGCTATTTTGTTCAAAAAGCTCCCATGTTACAAACAGAGTTTATAGGGAGTTCTATTCCGCAAGGTTGAAGGCGGGAGTAAATATTAATGAACACTTATGTGAGTTAAACAGGTTAAGACAGGAATTGATGTTGAGGGGGGAAACAGTGTCTGAACAAACCCTCATTACTGTTATACTCAATTCCCTTGATCCTAGCTGGGATAATTTTATATCGCAACTGGATAATGTTGATTGTAATAACTTATCTTTAGAAGTGTTATCTGGCAGACTGATTGCTGAAGATAACTTGCGAAAATGCAGGGCGGCTTTTCACAAAAAGGAAAAACCTTTAAGAAGGCCCAATAGTTCAGATAGAGCATATACTATTGGAGAATGCTTCAATTGTGGTTCAAGAGAACATTACAGAAAGGATTGCCCACAAAACGTGAATGCTAGGGCAAGTGTAAAGACACCTTCTGATAATAAATGTAAAAGGAGGTCACTTCCTCCAGGCAGAAAGCCAAGTGGAGATGTTCCTAACCACAGAAGGGGTAAAAAGCCAAATGGAGGCAACAAAGGGAACAATCCCAGGTTTAATGATAGTTCTGTAGGTATAGTGGAAACTACTGAGTCAGAACTTACAAGGGAACAGCGAGAGCAACTATGGTTAATGGACAGTGGAGCCAGTAACCATGTTGTGAGTGACCGAAGGTTGTTTGTTAATATGAGAAGGCATCAATCCATGGTCAAAGTTGCAAACGGTAAAAAGATGAATGTTGTTGGCATTGGAGATGTTTATATTCCTGGGATAGGAGAAATTAATGGAGCATTGTATGTACCAGAGATAGATCATAATTTGCTAAGCCTAATGAGGATATGTGAGAACCCTAGAATGGAGATTCTGTTCTCAGGAGGAACAAAACAACAAATGTGTGATTGGGGAGGTTTTGAAGATAGGTGGTTTGCCTTATTATTCCCCCAATACGAATGCTGAGACCTGCAGTGATAGCAATTATACTATCTCATTTGGTAGTAACAATGAATCACAGTTAGAACTAGGTGATGAGGATCAAGACTTTCACCAGAGGAAGCCTTGTAAAGACAAATGTAAGGTTAATAAAAAGTTTTTAAATTTTAACTTAGAGTCAGATAATAGGGAACCTGAAAATGCTAATGCAATTTCTATAGGTGAGCCATTGCACAATGAATGTGCTCACTTGAAGCATCGCAGATTAGGTCATGTGAGTTTTCCTATAGTGAAAAAGGTAACCGAACACTCAAGGGGAACCAAGATCAATGATTGTAACACATTTCTAGATTGTTCAATTTGTAGGAGTGCGAAGTTGAAGGTGAAATCTGCGCCCAAGAGGTCTCAGAGGTACTCTGAACACCCGTTTCAGCTCGTCCACATGGATCTGGTGGGTCCATTCCCACCTTCCGTGGGTAAGAGACGGTACTTCCTTACCATAGTAGACGACCATAGCAGATTTGGATTCGTTTTTCCCCTAATGTCCAAGAGTGAAACGTTGACTAAGTTTAAGGAATTTTGTAACTTAGTCCAGAACCAGCACAAGGTCAGAGTTAAGAAGATCTTAACTGACAGGGGGACTGAATTTAATTCCAGGCAGTTCTCCAGCTGGTTGAGTAAGGGCATAGTCCACGTACGCACTGCGCCTTACTCTAAGTTTTAAAATGGCATCGCAGAACAATGCAGCAACGTATTACAAACAATGATGCGGTGCGCCCTAGAGGATGCCGCATTAAACTTCGCATACTGGGTAGAGGCAGTTAGATACGCGAATTACACCTTGAACCGAGTGTGGTCTAGCGTGGTGCAGAAGACCCCATATGAGGTGCTATATGGCCATAAGCCTAGCTTGGCACACCTCCACGTTTTCGGAGTGATGGCCGATGTTCATGTCCCAAAGGAGCTCAGGAGAAAGGGAGATCGGATCTCTGTTAAACTGAGATTCGTTGGTTACGAGCAGGGGTCCAAGGCATTTAGGTTTGCCTACCCTAACGGAAAACTGATGATATCAAGGTCCGCCACCTTTCATGAAGGGGCCAACTGGAGTAAGATCCATGCCAATGAGATTCTTACTCGGAACCCTTCCTGTAGTTGTCGTAGGCAAATGGAGGAAGTATCGGAGAACCTATCCAATGATAGGGATACATCTGGTTCTGGGAAGCGTGTATCCCAGGCACCCTTGAAAGGGGTATTGAAGCGTAAGATGGGGGTAGCCAGGAAGGATAGGCACCCAGCTTCTGAGACGCATAGTGATAGTCATGAGGTAGATGACTCATCAGATGACTCTGATGTGAGTAACACTCCTAAAGGCAGACCAGTTAGGGCTACCAGAGGCAATAAGCCTAAGAGGTACGATGACTTTGTTACCTCAGTCGACCAGGTTTCGGCCACACCTCAGAAGTATGAGGATGTATTGGCCTTACCTGACCATGAACGACAGAAGTGGCTGGCCGCCATGGATACAGAACTAGACAGCCTGAGAAGGCTGGATGTATTCATGCCAACAAGATTGCCCAAGGACAAAAGGGTGATCGGCACCAGGTGGCTTTTCAAGAAAAAGCCCGTTGAAGATGGGGGCTTTGTCTATAAGGCGAGACTAGTGGTGCAGGGATTCTCGCAGAGATTCCCTGATGATTATGAGGACACCTTCTTGCCCACGGTGTGCCCTGAGAGCGTGAGAACAGCTCTCACCATTGCTACCATGCAAGGCGAACATGTATATCAGTTCGATATTCAGACCGTGTACCTGCACACCCAGTTAGACAAAGAGCTGTACGTGAGGATTCCTCAGGGAGTAAGCCATCGGGAAGACGATGTGTGGTTGTTGAACAAGAGCCTATATGGCTTAAAACAATCTGGTAAGCGATGGTACGAGTGTCTCACTAAAAGCCTGAGAGAGATGGGCTTTTTACCATCGTCGGCTGACGAGTGTGTTTTTGTCAAGGAAGATCAGGGCATTAGGGAAACGGTACTGTTGTACGTTGATGACATCCTATATATTTGCAGATCAGAGAACAGGCATAAGAAGTTCTCTGAGGACCTAAGTAAGAGTTTCGCCTTAAAACCATTAGGTCACATTAGCAAATTTTTAGGGGTGTAATTCGTAAAAACCGAGAAGGGGTTTCGGCTCTCTCAGGAAGACAAAATTCAGGAATTGCTTAAAAAGTGTAGCATGGTAGAGGCGAAGCCATGCGATACCCCTATGGCGACAGACTTCCTTAAGAATATGTACACTGAGAGCATGGAGTTTGAGGATAAGACCCTTTACAAGTCCGTGATTGGGTCGTTGTTGTACATTGCAAATTGGACTAGACCGGACATCAGTCTAAGTGTAAATGTGTTATCTAGACATTCTGAACATCCCACACAGTACCATTGGAGCGGAATTAAACGACTCCTGAGATACTTAAAGGGTACTGTGAACTATTCATTGTTATTGGAACCAGAAGCAACTAGAGAATTAAGATTGAGTTGTTTTTCGGATGCCGATTGGGCAGGGGATGTTAGATCTAGAAAAAGTACCTCGGGGCTACCTAAATAGTAGCCCCGTATATTGGTACTCTGGGAAGCAGAAGCTAATTGCAACTTCCACAGTGGAAGCTGAATATGTCAGTTTGTCCAAAGCTTCCAATAACCTAGTTTGGTTTGACGATCTTCTGGTAAGCTTATGGAGGCAGCCCATGCAACCTATAAAAGTCTATGAGGACAACATGGCTGCCATTAACATATCGGAAGCCGATGCTGTAGGCCAGAGATCGCGCCATATTGATATTAAAATCAAACATGTGAGGCAACTGGTGAAAACAGGTTTCATTAAGACTGTGTATTGTGAAACCAAGGAACAGGTAGCGGACGTGTTTACCAAACCGCTGCCCCGTGACCAACACCTCTATCTTTTGGGTAAAATGTCGATGGCTATGTGAATGCACTTACCATTGATGTGTACATGTACCCAATGTAGAATGTATGTTTGTTAATGAGTCAAATAGCCGCAGAGAAGGGGATTGTCACGAGTGTTTCCAGGATTGCTGTGGCTACTTGCCTACTCACAAACAGTATGGTTTCAATCAAGCCATCTCCTGTTTGTAATTACCTGCAAGCCTTCCCCACCCTAGTTAATTGCAGGTTAACTCCCCATATAAGCAAGGACCTTTTCGCTTGCTGCTTGGGCCTAGACTCTGGTTTAGGCCTAAATGCACAGCTCCTGCAGGAAGCTATGTGCAAATGCCGCAGATGGGAGAAGAATGCAGATAAGGACTCCAGACGCCGTTGCAGAGGAACTCCCACGGATGCTTGCCTTTTGCTGTTTTGTAGCACGCAAGCTATCATCAGGACTGCTGTTGCTGGACTTTCTTCCTCCCACAAGCTTCAAGCAATGTTTGCTGTTTGAACTGTTTTTACTTCAGGTGACTTTTAGCTGTGAAGTTTGTGCTGCCCTTTTAATTACCTTGATGATGTATCGCCACCGAAGCTGCTTATCTTCATGTTAGCTTTATTCTCTTGTGAACTGTTTCGGTATTGTGGAGAGGAATCTAGGGAGATAGCCCTGCTTCACATAACCAAGATAAGACTTTGTTTTTAATGTGCTTTCTTAAAGACATAGTGCTTTTTAAATGTTTTAAAGTAAATTATATTTTTACACAAGACGCCTCTGTCAGGATTTATTTCAGTCTCAGTGTGTTTGCCCATGAGCTGGTTCACGGTCCGGGGTACCCCTCAACCCCATTTCCTAACATAATATGAGCTACAATTAACTCAAATAATCTTTTACTTCTCAATTGCTGTCTAGAGCTTTTTCGGGAGCTCAGTTGGGTATGAACTATTTGGAATCTCCATCTCCAGTATAGCAAAATTACAATATATAAATCCAGTCTTTAAAACAATCCACACTGTGGATTGGAGGAATTATCACTTATTATCAAAACAACTGTTTGAAAGTGACAAAAGGATGGATCTCCAAGTTATTGCCAGAAAGAAAGAATTTGCTATTTACCCAACTTTCAGTAGAAAAACTGGCAGCTTAATTTTATTCCAGCATTGACAATAAGGGCAACAAACTAACTTTGAGGCTACATATTATCCTGTAGTAGCTCATTTCTTTCAACATCCACCATGTGTAATAAACTGTTAATACTATGCCTCAGAACAGGCGTAGTTCAGACTTTAGTTAACTTAATTATTTTTCTGTTGCTAGTGGTGTATGTATGGAGCTACTGATTCCAACATTTAAATGTTTTAAATTGCTGTGGGTCAAAAAGTCCATACTGTTGGCCAGAAAGCAAGATCTAAATTAGTATAATTCATTATTTTAAATTTAGTAAATAAAATATCTGCATATCTGGAATAGTTATTAGCATTTACTCTATTTTGCTAAATAAGTTGCTTCAGAAAGGAAATGGTAATTAGTGTTACAAGGTTTACAAATGTGAATGCTGAGAAGAAACACTGTAACTACACAAAAACAATAGAATCAGAAAGGTAACTTAAATGAGAACTTAAGAGTCAACTTACTCATGAATATTATTTCCACTTAGGATGGCATCCTTAAGCATTTATATTATTATAAGGGCCATAATCCCAATCATTTATATGCAGGTAAGGATACAAATAGATCTTTCTTAAGGTTGTATCTTTTCCACAATCAATAAAATATAGCAATGCCTCACTTTAACTTTAATTCATCAACTAGATTGATAATTGTCTATCTTGTTTGATAATGGCTCTTTGTTTTCAGAAAGGAATCTTTTTCAGCCCTAGCCAGAGATGCCTCAGAAAAAAACCCAACAAACCTATCATATATGAAATGGATGCTATGACTTATGGCCCTTTTCGTTTCGTTTCAATGTCCTAAAAGATCTTCCAAGTATCTAAAAATCATCTTATCAAGCAATGAAGTAGTAAAGAAATTGTATTGGGTTAAATAATATCTGATTTGGTACTAATATTCAGTGTCACTCAAGAAACTGTGTTTGAGAACAGGCATATTTCTTGGAAAATAAATAAATAAATAAAATGAAAATGTTTATCTGATTAGAACAAATATTAACCCACATTCACTATCAAACAGGCGAAGCAATCATTTAAAAAAGTCCAGTAGTTTACACATCATTCTTGAAAATACTCATGAAAACATAGCATAAGAAAAATATAATTTGTAATTAACAGATTTAAAACAAACGAGTTGAGCTATATCCCAATCAGGGTTGAAATTCACTTACCTTCCTTGGCAGTTTGCAAATGTGCATGCACTGCGTGTGTGCTTGTGTCACTTGTATGTGCCATCGTCCGTGCATGCGCAAAGCCTTTTGCACATGCACAAAGCCTTCTGCGCATGCGCAGAAGCTGAAAATTGTTGCAAAAAAGGGATGTCATGACATCCACCCGGGTGGGCAGGGCTCCGCACAGTTAGCCCTACCGGATCGCGTGATCTGGATAGAACTGGCTGAATTTCACTCCTGATCCCAATGTATACAAATTCTTTGAGCTATAGGCTTAAATTATCTATTGCTATCCTTTATCAGCTTGAATTCAAGACTGATATTTCATCACAAGGTGCATTGATTTTTGAATCATATCTAAA